CTTTATATAGTCACAACTTTTTATAATCACCAAAATTTTGTTTCCCAACCTGGTGATTATATCGAGGTCTGACTGTAGTGTTAAAGGAAAACAAGTAATTTTATATGAGTTATGATATTGTATTCATAGTGAAAAAGTTAAAGATAGGCAAGGCAATCCTGAAATAAAAAGGATACAAACAATGCATAACAGAAATACTGATTGTTTGGCAGTTATGAACTTAAAACTAGAATATCACAATACTTTTACTAATTATCCTTTAGAGGTTAATCTTATTTTTAAACATAATTATATTATCAATTTTGTAGAAGCACTTAGCTTTCAGCATGTTTATAACAAAATATATACAAAATATATGCAACTATTTCATAATGGCCATTCTTTAACAACTGCATTGTATACTTACCAAGATGAACTTCATATTTCTATTTTATCAAATGAAGAACTAGTTAAAATTCTTGCTAACTATTCTCTTAATTCTAATTATAATTATATAAAAAAATCTCTTCAATTATTATTGTGATTCTTAACTTGGTAAAAAAATGAAATATCAATATTTCAACATTTAAATAAAGAAGTTATAAACTATAATGCCTCTGGCTATAGTCAAGCAGTTTTTTAAGAATATAATTCCCAGACTAAAAAGGCATTTGTACTTTGTGTTGTCACAAAGTTAATAAGTCTATGAACAAATTGGATCTTCTTTAGTATAGGTGGATATATATAAATATTATAAGATTATTTAATATAAAAAAACTCTAACCCTAACCTAAAGCTAACTATAAACTATACTATGACCCTCACCCTAACCCTAACTATTCTCAAATCTGTTTAGATTAGTTTAAATAATTATTTTTATATTAAATAATCTTATAATATTTATATATACCCATCTATACTAAAGATTAACTAATTTTTTAGTTAGATATATTGTATAGTCTTTAATATTAAGGTTTATTAATTAAATTTAAAGTTTGTATTAGTTAAATATTATTAAGCAATTGTATATATAAAAGTTTTAGCTAACAAAAATAAATCTATATATTTAATTTATAATTTACTAGTCAACCAGAGGGTAATTATAGTGAAACATGACATGAATTACTTATAAAAAATTAGAATTTTCTAAATATAGCATATGCATTTAAAACTTTTTTTTATACTAAGTTAATCACCTTTCTTGCTTAAAAGACAGTGTCAAAATTGGCCTGGTAGATACCAAGATATCTTTACTTTAACTATGTAAGCTTCTTTGCAAATAATACTATTGTTTGCAAAGAAGTTTATATAGTTAAAAAAAAATTTTTTAAAGATATCTCAGCACCTACCAGGCTGATTTTGATGTTTTAACTACTATTAGATACATTTTGACAAGCTTTACAAAAGTCTTTTAAGCAAGAAAGGTGATTAACTTAGTATAAAAAAGTTTTAAACGCATGCATGCCACATTTAGAAAAATCTAATTTTTATAAGTGATCCATGTTATGTTTCACTATGATCACTCTTTGGTTAACTGATGAATCACCAATTAATAAATAAAATAAAGTTCAATAATTATTTAATATATTATTGATTACATAGATCAAACCAGTGTCTTTTTTTTTATTTAGTATAAGTTAAAAAAAATAAATCAGGTGGGTCAAGATTAATGTTTTTGCTATAAATACAATTTTGAGTTTGATAAGAAAAATTTGGGAAGCTATTTTAAATCTAGATCATAACATATATACATCACTATAATATTATGGAAATAACATTTCTTGACAAGTGATCTTTATTTTGGTGATCCTCTTTTGTTAAAATGAGAAATGTAGCTGTTCATGAAGATGCTAAAACCACAAAACAATAAATCCATAAATTTTAATGTCTATATCTGAAAAACTGGCTAAGCAATCAGTATTTGATTCTCTAAATAAAAACATATTCAAGATCAAGATTCAACCTAACACCTAATATTAATATCAAATTTTTATATTAATGGCTTGGATTTATCTGTACTAGATTTAGTATTTTGTACTAGATTTAGTATATCTTGTAACTTAAATAATTTGATAATTTTATAATTTACTACTTTATTAAATACTATTTTTAAGTATATTAGAATAGGGGCAATTCTATAAAAAACTTTGATAGCTTTAAATAGTTTTTTGGATTTTATAGAATTTTTTTTATTTCTTTAACTTTTA